GGAATAATATTGGTGAACTTGAAAAATTACTTTTCAGCACACTGAATTCTTATATATGTAGTGTATATATATACAAACACACGTTGGGTGGCTCTTTTCCATCTAATAAAGGCAAGACCACCGGTCAAATATAAAAAGGGAGCTAACTAACTAATGATGAGATGCCGACATGGCATCACACAAAAAAAATGAAGAAACAGAAAAAGGAAATAACTAACTAATCCACTAATTAAAGACTAATTAAGTTAATTAATCTTAGCTGAAATTAAACTCTTCTCATACTCCCCTCAAGGTGAGCACTTGGTGAGTGAATATCCAAGATGCTCATCTTGGACATTAAAGCTTTGAAGGTAGCATATGACAAATGTTTAGTAAACATATCTATAAGTTGTTCGATGTGTGCATATATCCGGCATCAATGATTTCAAGCAACAATGTTCTCTCCGATGAAGTGACAATCCAACTCTATATGTTTTGTTCTTTCATGAAACACAGGATTCTTAGTAAGATGAAGTGGCGGATTAATTGTCACGATAGAATAGGTACTCGTCATTAAATGATCAAAACTCAAATCCGAAAGTAGAGATAGCAACCATATTACTTCACAACAACAATTCGCCAAAGCTCTATACTCGGTTCGCCGTGCTTCGAGCTACTAAGTGATTGTTTCTTAGCCTTCTAATTGACCATGGAAGTTCCAAGCAGAACACAAAATCCACTTATGGATCTCCTCGTGTCAAGATAACTTCCTCAATCACCGTCCGCATATGCTAGTAGAGATAAATGAGAGTTTGCTTTGTCCCGAATTGTTTTTCAAGTAGCATAATACTCGTGTGCAACTTGAAAATGAACTAGTATGTGCTTCTCCATGAATCGAGAAAGCACACGAGTCGTATAGCTAATATCCGGCCTCGAACAGGTCAAGTACATCAACTTTCCCACCAATCTTCTATATTCAGATGGGGTTTGACAACTTGTTCTCATCGGCTTGTTTAAATTTGACATTCATCTCCGAGGGTGCGGAGACTAGTCTTGCTCCAAGGAACCCATATTCTTCTAACATATCAAGAACATACTTTCTTTAATTTAGCACAATGCTAGAAACCGATCTTGCCAATTCTAAACCCAAAAAGTAGTGTGGTTCTCCTAAATCCTTAAGCTTGAACTAATCTTTTAAGAAGCTTTTGAAATTAAACATAGCTTGCTCCGAATTGCTCATAATGAGTATATCATCTACATATACAAGTAAGAGCAAATACATACCATTAGATTGTATTACGAATAGAGAGTAGTACGCACTTGGACCGAGTGAAACCATAATCAATCAAAGCTTATGTAAGCTTAGCATTCCATTGCCTCGATGTCCGCTTCAAACTATAAAGTGATTTATCGAGCTTACATACTAGTTTGGAACCCGAAGGAAACTCCCCCGAACTTCATAACTCGATGATAAATCTATGTATACAGCTTCTTCTAAATCTTCATTTAGGAATGCATTATTTACATCGAGCCGACATAAAGGCCAATGCTCGCATTCATTGCAAGAGCTAGAAAGACACGTACTTTTACTTGTTTTGCAACATGACTAAAGGTCTCTTGGAAGTCATATCCTTCAATTTGGTTATACCCTTTTGTCATTAATCGGGCTTTATACCTTTTTATAGACCCATCAGCTTTCAATTTCAATTTATACACCCATTTGCAACTTGTTGAATGGCAACCTATAGGTAAAACCTTCACAGATCCGTGTGTTACCGTCCTCAAGAGCTTTTAGCTCAGCATGCATTGCTTCTCTCCATGTGGCATGCGTATTAGCTACTTTATAAGTGTTTGGTTCATGGTTTGAGGTGAATGAAGCTATGAAACTCGATATGAGGGAGATAGATGTTTTGTAGTTATATATTTTTGAATAGGATATAGTGTAGTGGCATTAGACTTTGGTAAGTTAGTTTGATAGGCATCAAGATATTTAGGTGGATGTTTTAGTCCGGTATTTCTTCTAGGTGAGGATTATGGTGTTTGGAGTGTGTCTTATTGGTTGGTAATCTATGGAGGTTCTAGAATTATCGAGGGTATTTCATCATCATATAAACCATGATCATTTTGACTAAAATATGGTAATGGCAGATCCGGACAAGAATCGGAGGAATTATACCGACCGGAGACAGATTCACTCGGAAGGAAAATTTGACGAAAAAGGGAATATATTTTCATGAAATTTGATCTCTAGAAATAAAAACAACATTGGACTTTAGATCATATAGTTTATACCCCTTAACATTTGAAGGATATCCTATAAAAATACACTTACAAAGCTCTAGGATCAAATTTGCCTCTATGTGTAACCAATGTAGATGCAAACAAAGAGAACTAAAAACTCTCGATGTTCTATAATCTGTAGTTTGTTGAACAACATTTCATATGGGGATTTATTGTCCAAAATTGGTGTAGGTACTCTATTGATAAAAAAAGTGGCGTTAGAACCGCATCACCGTAGAATTTCAAAGGCAAAGAGGCTTAAAATAGTAGGGACCTAGCAACCATTAAGAGATGTTGATGCTTTCTCTCTACCACGGCATTTTGTCGTGGTTTTTCCACGCATGTGAGTTGATGCGTTGTACCAATTTTAGCAAAGAAATCACTCATTTTGAATTCGAGACCATTATTAGATCTTATGCTTTTGACTTTGTAAGAAAACCGAGTATTGGCATATGTACAAAACCGAATAAGTAATAAGCTAGCCTCGGATTTGTGTTTCATTAAAAATATTCAAATGACTTAAGAGAAATCATCCACAATGGTCAAAAAATAATGACATCCAATCAAAGAAGAATTGGCATAACGACCCCATATATCAACATGTATTAACTCAAAAGGAACTTTAGAATTCTTTACATGAACAGAAATAATGTTCTTTTCTATTTTACTAAAGGGCATATCTCACAAATATGTGATTTGCTTATGACATTTATATCTAGAAAATGAATCTGTCGCACTCTATCGGAGGCTAGATGGCCTAATCTAAAATGCCGGAGATCAAAAGTTGATTGAGAGGAAACCGTATTGACAACCGAATTTGAGGAAAAAAAAACTCTTATGGTTAGAGAAAATAGAGACCAGACTTTAACTCTAGTATATCCAATTGTTATCTCTAAATTTTGATCCCGAATAAAGCATTGATCGGTAGAAAAACTCAAAAGCTCGCTGATTTGAAACAAGGAGTTTACCGACAAATAACAAATTCTAGTGGAAGGAAAAAACATACAAAACATGACTCGCAGTAAGATAATGACATATCCGAACAATCCTTACTTGTGTTACTTGAACCTTAGATCCATTTGGAAGGTAGACAAACAAGTCGGACATAAAAACATAAGAATTAAATATATCTAGTGAGCATGCTATATGATCTGTTACACCGAGTGTAAATAATCCAGTCTTTCTTATTAATGATAGGTATAAAAGTCTGTAAAGGTATGAAGAGCATATGCAGATGAAATGTGATTGATACTTGAGCTGGTAGGTTGATGTGTATGGATTGAATTCACAGCAGATGTGGTGTTGGTAGGTTTTGCAATAGGTTCTTGCATGCTTAGTAAAGACATGAGACGCCGGCATCGCTTCTAGAGTCGATCGGAGAGTGATCCAACCGTGGCAGCTTCTTGATCTCCTTGGAGAACAACGATCATACCCTCATCCGACTCTAAATCCTTTGCAACATTATGAATCATTCCGGAATTTTCATAATTATTCTTAGGCCTCCTATAGAGCTTATGACCCGGTAGATACCCAACTAGCCTCCAACACTCGGTCTCTTAAATGCCTTGACTTCTTACAATAGTTGCAAAAAGGGTCGAACCTTATTTCTTCATATTAGTCCGAGTAAACATAACCGAGGATCGGGTGATACAATTACTAGCAATTTGCATATAACTATACCGTGATTCTTCCCTAACAACAAGGTTATAAGCCTCATCTAGTGTAGGAAAAAGACATAACATGATTATCCGAGATCTTATACCGATAAAAAAATCATTCAAGCCATTCAAAAACTTATATACGTAATCTTTCATTTGCAAATCCATAAATCTTTCAAAACAATTAGTACCGCATTTCCCACATGAGCAATGAGGTAATGACCTAAATATTTTCAGCTCTTTCAATATCATATTTAGTTCATTAAAATAAACATCCACCGATTTTGTACCTTGTGTAAGAATACAAATCCGTTGTTGTAGGTGAGAAATTCTTACTTCGTCGAGTTAAGCAAACCTCTTCTTTAAGATATTCCAAATCGGCTCACGGATGAGAGATAAAAGATAGTTGAAGCAACGGGTGGTGAAATCGATTTGAGAAGCTAGGCCACAATGAGGTTATTGCATCTCATCTAAGCTCGGGTAAAGTTGATTTGTCGAAGCTTGGCATGGAATGGTTCCATCTATGAATCCTGTCTTGTTGCATATGGAAAGAGCTAATAAGAAGGATCTACTCCGTGTAGTATAATTTATGTTGTTGAGCTCGGTGTAATAGCTAGTGAGGCATGATTATCGGAATGATGAAGAAAATAAGGTGAATGTGGGTTTTCCAGCTGCGTTATAATTGTAGAGGAAGAAGGAACGGAAGATAGGTCTGCCATTTTTCAAAATCAAATATAGGCTCCTAGGAAATTCTTTGATACCATTTCAAACAGAGAGAAGGAATAATATCGGTGAACTTGAAAAATTACTTTTCAAGCACGCTGCATTCTTATATCTGCAGTGTATATATATACAAGTACACGTTGGGTGGCTCTTTTCCATCTAATAAAGGCAAGACCACCAATCAAATATAAAAGGGAGTTAACTAACTAATGATAAGATGCCGACATGGCATCACACCAAAAGAATGAAGAAACGAAAAGAAAATAACTAACTAATTCACTAATTAAAAATTAATTAAGTTAATTAATCTTAGCTGAAATTAAACTCTTCTCATATGGTTGGCTAGCTCCTCTCGCTCGCATGGCTGCACCCCATTCACCAAGCTCTGGAGTCGTGAAATATTTACTTAAATGGGCTCCTACTTTGATTGACGTTTATTGGCTCTAGTACCTATTAAAATAGATCCCAAATTAGATATTTAATACTAGGTTGATTGATTGTTTATAATACTGGATGAAATAAGGAGAGTTAATAATACATAGAAGATAAATTAATTAGAGACTAATATGACTTTTATGTGAGCCAGAAGTATAAGTCGTGTTATATTTCGTTTTAACTTTCATTATTGGTTCATCTTTTCAATTATTACATACTGTTGTCAAAATGAAAAATACGTTACCAATTATTTCTACATTTTTCATATAAAAAATTATTTTAATTTACATTAATGGGTAAAAAAATAGTAAGTTCATATTTTAGATCACATTAATAACCATTTAATCATGAAGTTAAATCTCTCTCATTTAATCTCTTCAGCTTCTAATTAACAAATATTTTGGATGGGCAGTTTATGTTTTTTAAGGTCACAATTGAAAATCTTATACGAGTATAAGAAATACTATGAAAATTTTTTAAACTCCTTTTTCTTTTTGATAATAATAGTACCCCTATCCAATTTTATATATTAAATAGCATAATATGGTTAAATTAAGGTCTTAGCTTAAATATTTTACTGCTTGTGTTTATTTGTTAATTTATGTGTAATATGAGTTCATAAGTTTGTATATAATAAGAGTTGTACTAAAAGAACTTCAGTACTCCTCTTTTAAGAAAGAATATGGTTGGAAAAAAAAATCTTTGAATAACGAAGGGGAAATTATTTTTTTTCTAAAAAAAAAGACCTTGTTATTTTAAGTTTATAAAGTGGCATTCAAGATAAATTTCAATAGCCAAAAAAGAATTTGATTCGGGTAAGTTTGTCATTAACAAAAATATTAATAGTATAATTTACACAGAGTCTATATATTAATTACAAGGATGAAAGTTCTATGTAAAAAAGTGTGATAATAAAATAATCCAAAAAATGTATAACAAATGCATGCTTACAGATTGATGTTCCTACTGCAGAGTCATAAAATCCTAACTCTTAACAAAATAGATCGAATCACCCAAAAAATGAAAGTTCCTGACAAAGAATCACCACCTATACCAACAACTCATCCGACGGAAGAGCAACCACTGAACTATATATAATTAATAGCCAAAAAGAAGACGATGTTGCTTTTTTTGACCAGATGAAGATGGAAGAGATTGAGGTGGAAGATGAGGAAATTATTGTCACTGAGAAGGAGAAGAGCCTTACTATTGAGTTGTCAAAGGCTTTCGAAACTTGGCTTCATAAACCATGCATGAGAACTAACTATTGTTGTTAAAGTTTTGAAACGATCGGTGGGATATTTATGTAACAAACTCAAAATTATTTGAAATAACTTGGATCCATTCCATGTTACCGACATGAAAAAGAGTTTTTTCTTGGCAAATTTTTCAAAAAGAAAGGAAAAAAAAAGGATCATCTCCATGTTTTAGTGGAGGGCCAAGGATGATTTTTTATTTGCCTTACAACACAATTAATGTGGGATTAGGGATGACAACGAGTCGGATATAAAATAGGTACTCTGCTCAATCCGTTCATTAATTATCTTTTTAAAATATCTTAATACGTAATGGGCTAAATATAGATAAAATAATATTATCCATTTATATTAATGGATATAAGTATCCCGTTTTTACTCTATTGATATCCATCTTTTACTTATTAATATAAAAATAATAATAAAATACAAAATTTTAAAATAACCAAAAAAAAAAAAAAATCCAAAGCATCACAATTCAAAAATCACTATAGCTTTAGGCTATAGAAATAAAATAACGATAAATCACCTCCTCATGGCAATTTATACTTTTATCCGATATTGCATCTTTCTATGCTTTTTGAATTCTTCTTTATTGTTTGCAGGACCATGTTTGAGATCTTAACTATTTGATTTTTTTGTGTGTGCGTTTTCTATGAATATTATTTGAATCATGCAAACTTTATAGTTACAAAGCAAGATAGAAATGATGCAAAATTTATCAATGAGTTAACTATGTTTGTAAAAAATAAAAAAATTGAAAAAAAAAGTCTTCAATTTGAGGAAAAAAATTTAATGAGTAAACAAGTATGGACGGGGCATGGACACAGTATGATATAATGGGTATGAGTTGAGTAAAAAAATGGATAAATAATTTTTAATGAGTAATGGATAAGATAAAATATTTTTTAATGAATAGGGTATGAAATTAGCTTTAATAGGCCGGATACTCAATCCATTGCCATCCCTATGTGAGATAATTGAATTTGTGCTTTACAAGATTAGGTGAATGAAGCTGATTCTCCAACTAATGAAGTCAGAAAAAATATATATAGCAATTTGGAGTACTCAAGACTGACAGTTTGCAAACAGAAATGTCTACTTCTCTACCACAAAACCTGCTAAACCCGTAACTGGCCTTTTTAGAAAAGGCCAAGCCTCCATCTCAGCCCAGTCCACTTCCACAAAGCCCAATAATAAACCATCATTTGCGGTCCAAACCATGCTAGCAAGTATTAATTTTGGTGCTCACATTCAGAAACCGTCGGCAACTTCACTAGCTGTCCAAACAATTCCAGAGAACGTTAATTTTGGTGTTCACGCTCAGAGGTCGTCTGCAACTTCGCCTGCTTTCTTAACAATTCCAATAGGTGTTAAGTCACTTCCTAATAAACAGATGTCATCAGCAATAAATAAAGATACAGTGGTGCATATTGTCGATGGAATCCACCCATCTCAAGCTCAAAGAGATGCCAACATGGATAGCAGCAGCTTGGAAGATGAGGAGAAAATCGAAGTGATAATGGAGGAAAACACGGATATAAAGAGAGAGGGAAAAAAAACTAGTAGCAGATGAGTTAGTTAGGCAGTTATTTAATCTAACAGTGATTAGTTGGTTAACTTCTTTTGCTCGCTTTTTTAGATACTCTTGATATAAATAGACTTGTATTCAATTCTCTTTTGCTTAATAATGAGAGAAGAATTCATGATATAAGAAATTCCAAGCAGCTGTGCTCAAGCAATACGAGAAGATGCTCAGGGTAGCTAGTTGGGGATGGTCTGCGATTATACGCAAGAGGTTAATTGCCCTCTCTTTTCGCCTAAATGATAGTCCAGCATGTAGACAAGCTTTGGCTGTGGTTCATTATAGTTTGCAAGTCACCTTTTGGTATCAGCTCTCAGTGTAGATTATGGCTTATCCTGGCTTCAGAGCAATTCCCAGTATGGGAATGTCACTAAGTTAGGGACTATAGTTGTTTCATGCAGGTTCATGGACGTGCAACTATTGAGCAAGTTTGTGATTGGTTTCGACTACGTAGGAACATGGAATTATTCCTCGTTTTAGAGTTCATAGATTGCAGGAATATTGTTCCTTATCTCTCGGGGGTTTAGGCTTCCTTACCCACCTAGCATATTGGGCCAGGTTGGATTTTCTCTCCTTGTATTAGTTAATTTTTATTCAACATACTATTAATGTACCAATTTTATTTCTCAAAAAAAAGAAAAAAAAAGTAATCGATACGTCATCTTTATTTTTTGAGATTTTTTACTATCCAATGCTATATATTAATCATTGATTGGTAACATTTAAATAGTATGTCTAAAATAAAAAATCTCAAATAGTAAAATCTCTCAATCCAATTAAAATAAAAATTGAAAGTGTCAATCAAAAAAATTCAAAAAAATATCCAAATATAGGAATAACCCTATGTGTGGGAGGTAGGGTTGATAGCAAAAGTTACTCTCAAACTATCGGGTTATAGCAATTTAAGATTTTTATTATCAATTTAGATTATTTGGACCCTCAAATTATTATTTTTTAAATAAATATTATTCTTCCTCCTTTATCGGTTCAAAATGTTGACCATTATTAAAGTGTTGTGATTACTTCTAGAATTTATGCCTTTTTGTAAAAACATGTCAGGTCTGATTTTTGTCAGAATTAGATCTGAAATGTTTTTATAGGAAAATATAAATTCTAGAAATAATCTCAATAACACTTAAATGTAGCCTCTCTCTTTATTAGGTTCAACAAAACCCTAATAACTGTGTCCAACCATCAAGCAAATTCTAAAAGAGTCTCGTATAAAATTAGCTAAAGATAAAAATAAAATAATGGCATTATCCTATATGGCAGCACCAGAATCAAGAAAAATATCCATAAAAATTCCTAAAAACTTTAGATAAAAAAAGATAAATTTCTGAAACCTATAAAAAAATCTTGAGTTTAATATATTCCAGAGAAATCTTCTACTCATTACATGGATAACATCAAAAAAATCTAACTTATGCATAATAAAAATTCTAAATAGGAATTTCAAGGCTATCTCAGTATATAAAAAAGATTTAATTCAACAAAGTAAAATATAATGATGTATAAAAATTTTATTTGTATTAAAAAGAAAATTAACTTGATATAAATTCCCAAATAAATAAATAAATTGAGTATTAAATAAAATTTACAAAAAAGAAAAAAGAAAAAACGTATTTAATATTAAGGAAATATGAAAAATAAGCATATGTGTGTTGTAACCAAGTTATATTATAAAAGAAGTCTATTATTGACTTTTAAAGTTTTATTAGTTTTTTGTAGATGTTTTTGTTTAAGAATATTATTTGTGCAATTAATTTTATTTTTAATTAGATAATAATTTATAAGAAAAAATTCTCTCGCATACACCAGAATCAAGATAAATCTTAGAAACTTAAAAAAAATAGAAAAAAAGAGATAAACCTTTAAAGCTTATAATTTTTTTTTTTTTGAGATTTTATATATACTAATCATATGTAGGGTTGAATATAATTCATGTAAATTTTAATAGTGTTAACCAACTTCATAGAAAAATCATAAACTTAACAAAATCCGGTCGTCTTAATCACTAGATTTTCAATTTTGTTTAGGATACATTATTCAGATTAATTACCATACCCGGAATTACTTGACAAAAATGATATGTTTATTGAAGGCAATTTTATCTGCAAAATATCTGAAAATGTACCACTTGAAAACTTATCCGCCTAACCCCAATAATAATAAAACAGAAAATAATTAACTCCAGAATTTACAAATGAAAGAAAACCACCCTCCACGACAAACAGAGCAGTTTTCGAAGATCAAAAACAGGTTTACAAATTATACCGGTTAAGGGTTTTACTCTTGATGATTTCTTTATACAAAGTTTGCCTGTTAAGTGGCATGGTCTCTAACAATCGTGCACCATCATAACTCTGGTCTAGGACAATATCCTCCACTAGATAATCCTCCATTTTCGAGACCTGGTTGTTACCTTTGGTTATCTTTATGCGTCTCTTCCGATACTCTTTGTTATTTGATGATGGCTCCATTACATCATCTGCAAATCGCACCCTCTTCTTGTCTCGACACGATCTCGTTGATCCTGTCCATTGTAAACAACGTTAAATTCAATATAGTTTTGAAAAACGTCCCTTCAGTTGTTTTTTTCTCTTTAAAATTATTATAAAAAAAAAAAAAACCAAGATCACGTACCCCCTAATTCAAATTCCATCTGCTTCATGAAATCAGAGAGGAGACGTTTGTGCAATTGACGTGCAATGAGAACTACACTTCCTGAAACTGCAAAGGCAGCCATGAAACCAAGCCCCATATAACCTGCCATGTTTTTATTTATATTTCTGCCTATGTCTCTTTCTCAATTGGGCTAAAACTTTTTGGTCTCCAACGCTATAAGAAAGAACCTTTGATGAGTTCTGTAGACAAAATTATGGAAAAGACCAAAGGTTTGTAAGGAAGAGTGGGAGATACGATAAACATCAGGCAGACAACCATTGGAAAAGGAAGAATGGCAAGTCGTTCTTATTTGTGAAAAGAGGACTTTACAGGACGGTCTATACAAGGAAATGGCCTTCGCCTCTCACAAAATAACAAAAGACTATTGCTGTGTGGTCTCAATTTAGCATACGTGCCGAAATTACACAATTGGATACATCTAATACTCCCTCATTTTCTATATATATATATATATATATATATATATATATATGGAGATAGAGAGATAGATATGAAGAATTATGCTGCTATTATTTAAAAATTATAAGAATTTATTATATAAATTATATTAATATATTAAAATAGACAATAATCGTGTTTTAAAATTGATTTCAAAATACACATTGAGAAAGATAAGTTATATTTGTTAACAAATAAAAATATATTAAAAAATTAATTGAATGATAAATTTAAAAAATAAATTTTAAACCATAAAAATAATATAATATGATATATATTTTTATTTTAAAATTTTAAAATATATCATATATATTTTACTTTCGTTAAGCTGTGTGAAAAATCCTAAAATTAACGAGTCGAATCAAATTCAACAAAATAATAATAATAATAATAACAGCAGATTGTTGGGACGGAAAACAAAGGCTTAAAAAACAAGCTAGGCCCTCAAAAGCAGGCCTATGCCTTTGGACCTGAAAAAGCAGGCCGCACCATTGGGCCTATAGAACCACGCCCCCGCAGCCCACCTTTATTTTTGTTGAAAATAAAACAAATGCACGTGCCTCGCTTTATTTCTGCGGCGCGAGTGACGCGCCGTTTACTTGCAACTTTCGACGAATTTAAATTTGTCAGGAATATTGTTGGAATTTTGCCAAAAAAAAAATCAAGATTAGGACACAAGAACCCAATTTTGGCATATTTTTGCCCTAAATCACCTTAAATTTACTAAATAAGGTAAAAAAAACTTGTTTCATATCTTAAAACGTATTTTAATGCACAAAAAAATATCAAATCCAAAAATTTAAAATATTTTATAATTCGAGCTCTTTCTTTAAAAATCATTTTATGACTTAAAATCACTACGAACAAAGTTTTCTCTTTAAAAAACAATTTAAATATAAAATCACTAGTCAAAGTTCAGAATCAGGTTTTGTTGTGGTTTTTTTCTTTATTTTCTCCCTTCTCTTTGTATTCATAACCAAAATGTGATATAAATAAAATTAGAAATCAATGAAAAAAATAAATAAGTGTAATATTTAGTAAAAAAGCAAATATAAACACCTAAAATTGCTTGAAAATCACAAATTGTACTGCTCAAAAAATATTTTATTATTAAAAAAGTACTATTCTCTTTCTTTCAAATATATTTTCCACCTTCCTATTTTAAGATCTCTCAATATATATATATCTCGTACTTAAAAGACTCAGAATATATAAAATAAATAAAAATATATAAAAAACTCACTTAAATTACATGGAATATATCCAAGTGAAGAGGTTTAAATAAAAGCTATTATAAAATTATTTTCGATAAATTTTGATTATATATGTATATAAACAAATAAATCATGTGAATTCTTTTAACTAATTATTAATTTTTTTTTCAAAAAATCAAGTCAATTTATTTTTTTTAAAAATTAAGTCAAATTATTAAAAACACACTTTTAGCTCTCCCCTCACATCAGAATTTATATATGCAACAATGTCATTTTCATTAAAAAGTCATAAAAATAATCAATTGTATAAATTATAATAATATATTTAAAAAATAAAACAATCATGTTCTAAAATTTTATTTCAAAAGTCATGTATAAAAAAATCAAATTTATTAACTAATAAAATTTTAAAATTAATTCGATGAGAATTTTAATAAGAAAAAACAATTGAAGAAATAAATTTTAAATAATAAAAATAATATAATTGGATATATATGCTCAAACTAAAATTTTTAAAAATATCATATATATTCTATTACGGTCAAACTGTACATAAACTAAAAAAAAATAACTATCTTTTTTTATATTTTCAACCTAATTTCATGATAAAAAAAAATATAAAAATAAATTATTTATATAAAAAAGTAACAATTGCCAACTAAGAACGTATAGAAACTGAAATCCAATTATATATATATTAAAAAAAAAAAGGAATGCTACAGTGAAGAAAAGTTCCATTAGCCTACCATTAAAAAAAAAAAAAAAAAAAAAAACCCATCAGGGAGTCTCATGCTTTACCAACTGCCCTTGCAAGCAACTAAGTGGAGATCGATGGACATGCTGCCATAATGGAATCCAAAACAACCAGGCCCTTAAAGTCCAAAATAGACCAGCCCTTAAAAAAAAGAGAAGAAGGAAAAACACGAAAAAAAGAGAGGCTAATAAAAAAAAAAAAGGCCATCATGGAGTCCAAAACAGCCTAGCCCTTAAAGTCGAAAACAGCCCAGCTCTAAAAAAAACAGAGAAAAAAAAATTGCTACAATAAATGAATGAATAGTTATACCTCTAGATCTTTTAGGTTTTTTTTTTTTTTTTTTTTTTTTTTTTTTATAATGATGTCAATGTGGATTTAGTTCAGCAATGTTTATTTTGCGAAATAGATAAATGAGGCATGTCTTGAATTATCAAAATTTGTTGATCCATTACCTTCAAACACTCAAGAATAAACTTGGAATTTGACATGGAGTTTTCATATAAAGAATTTTCTCACTGTAAATTGCCAACTAAATTTTGTGATTAAGAACGTAAATGGCAAGATATGGAATCAAATTAGTTGGCTGTTGGAATGAATATTTATTATCTACAAAGGCAAAAAATCAAATGCTAAACCTAAGATATAGCATTCTGCATTAGAATTTATAGGTTTGGTTGCTGTAATATGTAACCAACCACTTCTTCTAGAATCGACGGTTTCAACTACCTCCACAAATAAGATGTTGCTGGCGTTCAACAATAGTGGGTTTGCCTATTATATGGTTTATGTATTTTTTAAATTATTTTAACTAAGATTTTATATTTTTTTCATATTAATTAAGTCCTTTTACTTTTATTTTGTTTCGTTACCGTCATTTCCTTATAACATTATTAGTTTGTAAGTTGAAGTGGTATGTTACACTCCTAAAGACATGACACACGTCATATAAGAGTCTTCAATAAGGAGATTCAATCAAAATAGTTCAAATAGTACATGAACTAAATTATTTTTTTTCTTTTTTACTTATCGTGTTATTATTTTTTAAAAATTTTATCTTAAATGCATGAAATGTATCATATATGAAATATCATCATAATAAAATTGTAAAGTAATTTTTTTTAAAAAAATCGTTATAATAGGTTTAAAATTAAAAAAATTGTTTTGTATATATTTTATTAGTTTAAAATTATTATAATAATTTTATTAAAACTAATATGCTTCATGGCTTTTGTTACATGGTGATTTCTCGTTGATCGCAAAAATGGAAACGTATAGGTACGGAGTTGCCAATCAGTTTTCAAAAAGTGAAAATTAAGAAAAACTTAGTATCGGCATAAAAAATTCTAAGTAAGGGGGTTTTACACAACTTAGTATCTTGATTTACGTGTTCCATTATTTGGGTTTTTTCCGATCGAGTCTTAAGAGAGGTGATTTAGAGACTAAAAAAGACTCAATCTTTCATCTAATATGTCTTGGGGTCGTTGGGGTCTATTTGAAGAGGTAAATAATAATAATAATAATAATAGGGTTTAAAGTCCAATGCAAATTAAATCATAATCCCAAACAAAAATGCAAAAATAAAAATAAAATGAACATAGGCATAGCCCCAAATTCACCTCCCAAACCATGAAAAAAAAATACAATTCCATAATAATATAAAAAATGGATATGGACCTCAAGCCCATATTACCCTATCATGCCACTTTAAATTATTAAATTAGATCTAAGACCAAATTAAGAGCTATATCTCACGAGAGAAAAAAAATTAGTACACCACAAAAATAAATTAAAATCAACTCAAACCATATAAACAAGTAAAAATAAAATAAATAATAAGAAAAATGTTTGTCATTAGAACAAAATTGATCTCGAGTGTTAAACCTACTCCATCTAGATCGACATCACATAAAATAAACACACAAAGTGCAAGACATAAAATTATACATATAAAAAAATCACGAATCACATAAAAACAATTTCATGAAATAAAATCGCTAACATACCTCCATGAGATCCTTGGCATATTAATTCATGTTAGCATATTTTTTTAGGAAAAATGGCTAGCTTTTTACTAGTTTCATCATCGATCGATAGTTCCTCAAGAACGTATCATATAGAAAATAAAAATACTATATAATATGTCAAGCAATCCTTTTTTATTGAAAATAATAATAAGAAAAATAAAATAAAACAAAGATAATAGTAGATTAAAACTTAAAATTCACAAATCCATATCCTAATCTAATTAGATGTTAAAACACATCGGACCTCAAAGAAACTAAACTTATATCTTCTTTTTTTTTTCAAACCTAACAAAGTGTCCAAAGTTTCAAACATTTCAATCACACTCTTAACCAAAACATTTTCAATTCAATAATCATCAAAATATTCATTTTCAAACATATAATTAACATTACAATCCTATGAAACAGTTGAAGTAATCAAGCAAAACCATAGAATTTGGAAGAAAATTAGATTAGAAATGTGAAAATACAGGAGCATAATTATCTAAATCAATAATTTGGGGACCAAATTGGATCTAAGAACAACAATTGTGGTTGAACTTTCGACAACACGTAAGGTTTGCTTGATTGTCAAAAATAGGTAATTTTTATACCTTTGGGATCATCTTAGCTAAAGGATCGGGAATAGCCAATGCATGGTTGTCGAAAGTAGATAGGT